GAAACATGTATGTATTTCAGTGGAGAGGTCAGTTGATTAAAATAAGCAGGCTGCTACCCGAAAAAAGTGAAGATGATAAAGAATGAGGCAACCAGGCCTCTAGCCAAGGTGCTGAACCTGAGTGATAGTTCAACACAGAAGTATACTTGGCCTGGTACAAAAGAGAACAGGGTATAGAAATCTGTGATGAATTGAAAATGAACAGGCAATCAGAAAAACCAAAGGTACCACAGAGAACGACTGAACTGCTTAATCTGTGTTACTAACATTTCTAGCACATCTGTGGAGTGGAAATAGGGAAATAATTGCTCTGAGATAAATATATTCACATCACTTCCTTTCTGTCACCTCTAGAGCATACAACAAAGCATCTCATAGAGTCACAGAGGAGAGAAGTTCTCTCTTTATACCACATTGAGATTTTCCCACAGGCCAACAGCATTATGATGCCAAGACCATTTTAAAAAAGCTGTTTAGGAAAGCATTATCAGAGTGAGAATACAGAACTGCCCGCTTTGCAAAAAAACAGACACCAGTGTTAACTAAAGATACCATCTCTATAACCCTACAGTTCAATTCAACTGGTTCTAAGAACATACAGTGGGAAAATCTGGGGCTAGAAACTGGAGAAATAAAAACAGTTCGGGTTCTTCTATCCCTCAAGTAGCTCACAATTCAGAAAAATAAAAATAAGATAAAAACGATCAAAATTTTGACCAGTAATTTTTGGAATTCATCTCAGTCTGAAGAGAGGAAAACATATAAAATATTGTAATTTGTAAAATTTTCTAAAAAATGTTGTTTTAATATGATTAAAAGAGAATAAGAGTGTTCAATAAAGGTTGATAACAATATAATGTGATATGCTTTTAAACTTTATAACTTTGCAGAAATATGAAGAGAAAAGTTGGGTTCAGTAAGGTCTTCACAAGTTAGTAGGGATGAAATTTTCTTTTCTCCATTATTCCAAGGTTCCAAAGAAAATGATTTAACTTTCTTATATAAATTTCTACAATATTCTAATTAGTAGCTATTGAGAGCCTCAGAATTGATTATCAGGTTTATTATCTTGGCAGTGGACAGCTATGAGATCATTGTATTCATAAAGGAAAGTCTAAGTCATGATGAATAATAATTTCTTTCTTACCAACTCATACCTGCCCATGAAGGCTGAATTACACTTGATTTGTCTGAGATATAAAACCTGTTCTGAGAACTTAAGGGTTTTTTTCCCTCTTTATTATAAAGAAGAGTATAGGACAATAAGCTTAATATATTTTATAATGACTCATTGGAATGTTAAAATAGTTCTAACTTTTTTTCTAAAATTATCTAATATATGATTAGATCTAATAACCCTAAATGCTCCTGAGTGATAAATGTTTCTAGAAACCTACCTCTTGTACATTTTTCTTTGCATTCCTCTAGACTTTCAAATCGATTCTGGTTTCCTTCACATCCTCCATATACAAATTCTTCACACTGTTGAGTGTGAATATTGAAAAAAAACCTCTTCATCATTGCTTTGCATGGACCATCATCAGCTTTCAATGCACAAAATGAATGTACAAGTTTCAAAGGTGGCAACTCAGCATCTACAAGGTAAAAATAAAAGAATAACATACAACCCCAAAATAAAAGAATGACATAACAACACTGTGATAATGTTATTTCCTTTTTAATACATCTTAATTTTAAGGAAAAATACAACAATAATAAAACAGGCTAGTGATATAAGAAACTATGAAAAGTTAGCAGAGGTGGATAAAATATGTAAATTTAGCAAATGTGAGGTCTTATCAACCTTATTAAACTTTAATAGTGATTGATTATTCATTTGTCAAATATTTTTTTAGACCCTTGTTATAGATATTGCTTAAGCTTGTAATCAGTTGACCAATATGGAACTGAGTAGTAGTTGTAAGATAACTGATATGTTGACATTACATATAAGAAAAGACATCTCCCTAACACACAGTTGTGTCATGTTTTTACATATAGAATAACTCTTTAAAAGCAACAGATCAGGGATTGGACATGACCACAACCCTCATAAAAAAAAGCAACAGTATATTTATATTCATATATGTGTGTGTATATATCATACTATATTAAGCCACTCCCTAATTATGAAAATGTAGGTGTTTTATAAATTATAAAAAGTATTTATTTTTCTTAAATTTGCATACACAAGTACTTTTTCTATAGAAATTCATACTATATATTAGAAGGTTTTAGATTATTGATGACAATATTTTTAATAGATAAAAATCTGCATATAAACAAAAAATGACCTAAAAAATGTTTTTCCCTTCATCACTGAAGTTATCATTGAATTATAATGTGAATTGAAAAATAACTGAAGCATTTTCTGAGTAGTACATTTATGAATAATTGTAAATGCAGTTTATATTCTCTTTCCTTACTTAAAGATTGAGAATTCTATAACTGACATTCTGAGTAGTGAAAAAGTCGTGAGAAGCTAGAACGCTTTGCATCAAGGATGCTAAGTGATGCATCTGACTGAGAGATGGCCCATGATGTGTCACTGAATCAGCACTTTATGTTTGTCTACTCTAGATGCATTTTTCTAAGACTGACAAAAATTTGACCTATCAGTTCTATAAATATTTGATCTTAGAATTGAATCTCAGAAGTCACATGAACAATTTTTGAGAAACCAGTTAGGAATAAAACTATTCTGACATGTTGAATCTTATGGCTGTATACTATCATTTCAGAAATTCCTGTAGCACTTCTTATAAAATTATGGTCCTGATTCCCAAGTTAATGTCACTTTAGAACTTTTACAGACATCAGATTATTGAAGCAGTGCTTCAGACAGGCACCTTTAATATAGATATCCACCAGTAGAACACAGACAGCTTTGCCTAATACCTGAGTTGCCATATACTATATAGTTAGGGAAAACTGTTTCTTATAAATCAGTAATTTGTATCAGATTCTTTCTCATTGATGACTGCCCTGCTTTTGACTCTTCATATAGTTGACATTCCTTATCATCACACCAAATCCCTTATTTTACATTTTGTGTATTATGAAGGCTATGCCTCAAGTTCAACCTGCTATTAGTAATTATGCCACAAGATGGTGACAGTGCATCACAGACACAAAATATAGTACACTGTAGTTCTAACAGCAGTAACAGCTAATGTTTACTGAGTAATTAATGTGCAACAAACTTTTTATAATTATATCATTTAATGATTGTAACAACTTTATGAATTATATATCACCATCTGAATTTTACTAATTATAAAATAGCACTTCAAAAATTAATTGCTCAGTTCATACCATAAGTGATGGCTTTAGTATTGACCTCCACATAGTTTTATACCAGATATCTCACACCTTCTTAATAACTGAGTGATATTGTTACAGATCTGTGTGATAGTGATTCCTAAATTAGCATTTAGGTCAAGCACATAGATTTAATCATACTATTTCCACTCAATAATTTTTCTTCTAAACTTCACTTTATAAACACTAAAAATGGTTTCAATGATGAAAGCAGGTGATGATTTTACAGAAATTTCCTAAAGAAAATACTAAGAATTCACTTTGATTGATATCTTGTATTAGCTATTATCTAATTATTCATCTTTACCATTCACATTTTAATGTATGTCTTACATGAATTCTATTTTAGAATATTCTTTTGTGCAGTGAGCTTGCAACCTCTCACTCAGGCACAGCATTCCAGAATGGGGGGAGTGAACAGGTGGCCTCACTGGAAACACAGCCATGCCACTCCACTCAAAAGGGATGAACATCTGTCTTGTTTTCATTCCTTACTCTGGATAAACCTTTTCAAAAGTTAACAGCCGTGCATTGATCATGCGTGTCAGGCACTGTGCTGTCATGGCAGGTATGATAGTAACTTAGGTGGCAGTAACCCCCCGCCCCTCCGCCTTCATGGAGCATGCAGACACTAAAGACTCACTTATGAAAATATTCAAGAAGTTCAGGGTGCTTCATGAGTGTATAATGAGATACTTAAGCTTGGGGGTCAGGGGTTAACTTCCTGGGACTTGAAACTGAGGAAAGAATTGACAGTGACAAGAATCTACCTAAGGCCATAAAACTGGAAAACACATACTGGGTGATGTAACAGGAATTTAATCTGATAAAGCAACATAAATAGAATTACAGTTTATAGTTAATCATTTTCATAATTAATTGCTTGTATTTTTACATCACATAGTCTGAGGATTACAATCTCACTCTTCCCTCTCCCTGTCCTGGGATGTTGGATGGAAGGCTTATGTTAATATTTGGGGACATACCTGTCCTTGACTGTTAAAATTATTCTCCTGGAATTTGTTTGGGAATCTAGGAGTCTGCACGTTACTTGACTCTGACTAAAAGATTTATTTCTCTGCAAGGGAAGAACACAGATATGTGTTCTGCCTTCTCTGTGCTAGAAAAAGTGCCACATGCTTTTATGCAGTTTACACAACAACCATTTGGATGTAGTCATTTATATCACTTATTTACAGATTAGGATACTGGGAGTCAGAGAGTTTACATAAACTCACCTAATTTTGCAAAGCTTCTGTGTGGCAAACTACACAAGCAAACTTATGTCTATCTGATTCTACATGTTATGAAAGATACTTGCCTTTCTCTAAATGCTCCCTGCTAATCTTCTCTCTCCTAGGCCAAAGGATTTTTTTTTTTAAAGCTTATCACCACTAGTTTTTTCTTATCATTTTTGTCTTACCAAGAAATTTCTTTTATTTCATCTTCCCTACTGGTTAAACTAATTTTAAAAAGTCTACTATTGACTTGTGAGAGAAGCCATAAAATCTTGTATGTTTTTCAATAAAATAATACGTTATTTCAATGAAATGGTATCCTTCTATAAAATGATTGCATGACCTCGGCATAATGTGACAAATAGTATCTCCAAAATTGAATTGATTCAGGTGCAGGATCATGCTATTGCAAGATTAATTAAAAACAAACACGAAACCAAAACTAGATAAGACTGTGCAGCCAGTCAGCTAAGTGGTGTTCAAGTCTAACTTTAAGATCAAATGTTTTCCTTATCCAGCTGGGTTTGGTCTGGATTTATCCAGAGATTTTAAACTCTGGCTTAATTATAGGTGGGTTAATTCTGGTTCCTTGACTCAACAATGGCAGCAGCAACAACATCAAAAACCTGATTAACTGGCAAGCATTTTCTCAGCCTAAGGGAGGGAGCTTAGACTAGGTGAATATTGTGAACACTTGGACTTTTTTCTCCTCCTGCTTCCCAAGATGAGATTGCCTGCTTTTTCCCTGTTGGGACTTACTTTAACCTCCACATGCCTTCTTTACCTAACCTCCAAAATATTAGAACTTTAGCCAACCCTTTTGAGAAATGAGCCAAATGAGGGATTAGAGCTCATCTCATACATAGTGCACAAATTTCTGTTTTCGTAAAATACATAACTGTTTTTCTGTATCAAGTAATGTTCCATCTTTAGGAAATTTTCCTAACAATATATATTTTTTTCTGGTGGCATATAACAATAAGCCTCTAATTTTCACCCATTAGTAGGATGTGAGTGGCCCTTCTGATCCCAGAGAAGTTTGCTTCTTGTCCACTGGTCGGCTGGGGCAGATGTAAGCTGGGTCTGCCTGGGCAGGTGGACTTCAAGCTGTGAGTCCAGATCTTCAGATCTGTTCCCAATGTCTCATTCTTGGGTGCAGACTGAAGTGATGCAGCATGTACCACTTGGCCACTTCTCTGTGTCAAACTTTCACATTGCCAAGCCTGATGGGTCCCCTTCTTTGCATCAACAGCAGCACCCTATGCCTGGCTCGATCAATTCATTTACTACATTATAGTAAATAATCTGTCAGCACTTCAGTCTCTGTGAAACCAAGAGATTCTGGAGAACCTCGTCTCAGTCATCACTTCTTCCCTACTACCAGCCAGAGTTTCAGGCACTTAAGATGTATTTATACAATCTTTATCAAAGGGAAGTACACTGAACAAAATCACTTTAAAGAGCTGTTAGAGATATGAACTAAAAATGTATTTATGAAAATCTTTTTGTACATCATAAACATAATTACAAATAGAAATTATCACTTTGTTCAGTCTCTCATTATTAACAATGCTTGAGATTTCTATCAATGTTTTTCTAATTTGCCACAAAATACTACTTTTAAGAAAGAAATAAATCTATAATAACAATAACTACACACTCTTCTCCTTGTTCTATTGCTTTATTGTTATAGAGTTGACCCCTGAACATCATGGGTTTGAACTGTGTGGGTCCATTTACACACACTAGTAAATACTATGGTACTACGTGATCCACAGTTGGTTGAATCTGCAGGCAGAACCCCAGGCATAGGGGAATCGTGGATATAGAGGGCTGACTGTAAGTTATATGTGGATTTTTGACAGCACAGATTTTTGGTGTCCCTAACCCCGCACTGCTCAAAGGTCAACTGTAATTTATTTTTAGACACAGAACTCTATGGGATTAGATCTCTTGGTGTCCTGCTTGACTAGATTCTCACATTGGACTCGTCTGGAAAGTTCTTATTTGGGGAATAAGGGCAAAAAGGAGAGAATGGCTGAAACCTCAGATGTCTGCATTTTCCTTTTCCTTCTCATACTCTTCCCAGCAAAAGGGTAACAGCAAGGTTCAAAGAGCATTGTTTCTACAGCATTTTGCTCCTTGCAATTTTCCAGAGATACTTCAGTATGTAATATAGAGGCTGCAAAAGAGAGATCTTTATTGCTGAATTGACCGTTTTTGGACCAAAGTTTTGGAAAAACGTTACTTCAATAAAAACTGATTCTCCTACAAGACGGAGGAAAAATGTTAAGTATTTGGATTGAAATTGAGAGATCTGACTAGCTTACAATGATGAATGCTAAGATTTTACCTGTGCTGTTTGTATGTTCTTCATCTTCCTCAGGGACAGCAGTAAGAGGGGCAGAGGCACAACTAAGCAGCAGGCATACAAAAGCCAAAAAAATCTGTTCTCTCTTCATTGTGTAATTCATCTCTGAAATATAGAACCCAGATATATCTAATAAATAAATGGTTAATGTGGGATTATATATAGACTAGCAGGAATCTTGTGCACAGTTCCAAATGTAAATTTATATGACATTTAATGTGTATTCTCATACATATCTGCCCACAAATTCCATGAGTCAGATTTAAAACATGTATATGAAGCATTCAATATTGTAGACACACTACTTTTTGTGCATATATCTAATAATATTCAAGTACACAGGTCTTA